TGTGACCGAGTCGGCGGAAGCAGGAGGTTCAGGACGCTTCGCATAAGAATTCCTTAGTCAATACCCGCGAAGGAACCCTCGTTCCTGTTGTCTTTCAGAGCGCAAATTAGAGCGAAATCATCTTCGTGCGCCGGCTTGACGATTAAAAAATAACATTAATTCGAATTAAAAAATGAAAAAGTGCGTCTACAGGGAACGCGGGATTCCCATTCATATTCCAAGTTCCATTAAAATAAAGGTCCGTCCGTTCCGTTTTATTTAGTCAGGATGGGGGCTCAATTATTACGCGATAGAAGCTCGTATTGGATTAAATTAAAAGGTAATTAAGGCAAGCTGCCGCCAGGCTTAACGAAGATAGATATGACACGTGAAGAGGCAAAATTGCTCTTTTCACAAATTTATTATACTCCTCGAGAGAGAAACAAGCCGAAGAAAATGAATAGGAGAGTGAGAGACAGAGACAGGGGCCCAAATAGAAGCATTTAAGTCCTCTTTTATTTTGATGTATATTAATACTCTATGGTGAATGAACGTATAAAAATAAAAATATTACCGGACTCTTGCTAATAAGACTTTATCGGGTTTAGTATAGAAATAGCCAGCCTGCCAGGCCTGAAAAGTCTGCACAGTTGGTATGACGTCACTCGAAGAAATTGAATTTGCATATTTCAATGAAAAAAAAAAGAAAAAGAAAAAGAAAAAGAAAAAGAAGAATTAATTTTTCAATCCCGTAACCATTCCGCACCTACCCCTGCTACGCGACTACTGCTTTATATAGGTGGAGTAAAGTAAATTGTCATTAACCCTCAAGTAACTTTGACGTGGGTCTCGAGCCTTCTTTTATGGGATTTTCAGGATAAACGGAAGGAATTTGTTGGTGAGCGATGCATCCGTCCGGAGCGGAAGCGTGAAAGAATAAGAGTGCTCTCTCGACTAACCGAATATTGCATTCCACGCGAAGCTCTTGCAATTTCATGGGGATCGGACGTTTCCTCGAATTTAGATTTGACGTTTCATTTAGATCGAGCTTTTGCCTTAAGCTGCAAGTCACGAGAGGTTAGAGGCAGAACCTCTGGCAGGCAATGGCGCGGCGTTCCTTGCTTCTAGTAGTCGTAGAACCCCCCTGCCATGCTGTAATTAAACTCGTATTACAGGAACGGCCAGCCCGTAAACTTAGTCCCATTTCAAGTTTCAGCGGCACATACATTTGCTTTCATCATCCTCAAACTCGAGAGTATTAATCGAGCTCCTTATCGAATCTAGCGAAACTCGCTAGACCCTCCGATTTCTCCTAATGGCATCGCTGCGTCCAATTGCCGGATCTTTTCTCGAAATCCTCAAATTCACACGCGGCAGCGCATGCCGCAAACCTAGACTTTTCACTAAAATACGTCTGGTCGTATTCTCAAGCGAAAGACTTTTCTCAGGACTTGTCGGGTTTCTCTCCTGTGCTCGGCGTAACGGCTCTGCTAAAGAAGTCATTACGATTTCATCGGTAAGAGGTAATGACCGTTTCGTTCATTAACATTCTACGCTACCCCGTCTCACTCTTGCACCAGTAAAATCCGAAACGCTTGGCGTTAGCGTATAAGCCTTGGGAAGGGGTCGTCCAGTATGGGAGGGCAAGCGAAAGGAGGAGAGAACGAGAAAGACAGGGAATCTCCCATTAGCCGGAATTCCTAAAACGAATGGCACCATTAATTTTCCAAGGGAGGAAAGCCGGCGGATAGCTAGTGGCTCGCTTGTGGCTCACTTATAACTCACGGATCTCAATCGAAACTGGATTTTACTGATGAGTACAGCAGATATTAAGTATGTCGTTTGGGCCTTTAATCAGCGCGTCTACTCGATTATTATCAGTGTTTGGTGTGAGAATGTGTGTTATGCGGGTTCAGGGGTTCAGGGGTTCAGGGGTTCAATGAGACGGCCGCTCGAGACTGCGTGAAGACTTTGCTCCCAGCGGGGATGTCAAGTGAGCTATCGACGTCAAGGTTGGGATGCCAACGTCAGGTAAAATAGTTGAGCGTAAATATTTATAGCTCGATAAGACGCGGAAGTCCCTCGCTTGCCGTGGCATACCCTGTATAGATGCATACTTAGATATCGTGACGGTCTATCGATTTGCCTATATCTTACGAGAACATTGTCACATAGTTGCACGTACTGATACCGTTCCAATTTAGTAAACGTGACGTAGAGAGTGATGTTTCAAAAACATAAGACAGATGTTTCAGAGAATAATTATTAATGGTATACCAGGTGGCACACTGTACAGAAATGAGGGGATTGAAGATTCCGACAATTTGCTGCTCCGTCCTTCGGAAAAGAGAAGTTTTTCTATTAGGACTTTAGTGAGGTTGAACAGAGTTAACGGAGAGGTACGGTTTGGCAGAGAAACAAAAAAACCGGCGATCGGCGAAAGCATGGGACGGTCACTGGGTTATAAAGACTAACGGATGGATCGATGTGAGAGAATGGGGGGAGCGAGAGTCGGATGTAAGAGAAATGAGATAAAATGAAGAGGAACGAGTAGATACAAGGAGGAAGGAGCCGGCAAGGAGTTGGACAATATTGCTTGGCGCATGCCACAGATTGGTTCGCGAACTAATGGATAGGAGGACTCGCAAGATTATTGATAAAATGCGATAGGAATTTATATTGGCTTCGCCATATTGGTATCGGGATGTCACGGATGCTCCTGACCACTGTGCCTCGTCTATTGGTCGGTCAAACAGCCTCCGAGTGAAATAAGAGAAAAGCGCGAATAAAGCCGTAGCCCAGGCATTTCACGCTTTTTCGCCTTTCGCGTGCTCCAGTCTTTCACTTTTTCCACGGATCCGCGAAATCTTAAGCGACACGCCGTTTTTCTTTTTGGATTAGGCGAAATCAATCGCCCAATGGTTCGACTTCCAACCGGTCTTCCGTTCTCTTAATCGATGAAACTGGCAGCAGCACGTGAATCTCGGCGCTATTGATGTCGCCGATCGCGGCTGTCTCGCAGACCGGCAAAAGTAGCACGCGCTTAAAAATTGGAACTTCATGGTTACGCGGGACGGAAAAGGTGAAAATAAGAATGAGAAGGGGAAAGGTGGGTAAGTGTGTTTCTAAAAAGTCGACTCATTGGTCGTTCGGTCGGTCGAATTTACACGTGTACCTGTGTGTTGTCAGCTGGCGCCAGTGCCAGGGGGATATGTTAATAAAAGGAAAAAGGCCTGATATAGGCTCAAATTCCAGGCCGTGAAAAAGTCTGTAGCATTCAAATGCTCTCATTGACGTTCCCCTGCAAAGCTTTTTTTTTTTTTTTCGTAAAGCTTGCATTATGAGCGGAAAGATCTTTTCACAGGCTCAACGCGAGATATCGCATAGAAATGCTCCTCTCTATTTAGACGAAAGCTCGACCAGTTGGCTCTGCAAACTTCGAGTAGATAACCGGAGGGGAGTTGCTATACTTGAAAGTTTTTTCAGAGCTGCTACCTAATTCTTCTGCAGAAATAACTGAGCCCGTACCAAAAGTTGTCCCACATAAAGCGTGGGCCTCATGGATGCCTCCTGCGAGCTGGCCAAAATTATGCGTGGGCTAATCAAATATCCAATCAGAGGGAGAAAACTAGTTGAGGCTTTTCGTCCACGTTCATCCCCTTTTTTTTCGCACTTTCCTCCTCTTTCCACGCTGCTGGATATAGATGCTGCTAACGAACGCGTTTTCTTGCAGGGTTCAATGAAAAATGCGCCACGATTAGACCTTCCTTCTCGGTAGAAAGGCTGTAATATGTCCGACGCTACTTGAGCAATTCTCGGCCGATTGCGGCGAGCTTAAGATGGAAGTAAAAAATTTCTCCTACGGATGAAAGAGATTCGCTCCCTCCGAGTGCTTCGCTGTTATTTTGCTCCTCTGTCTCTCTCTCTCTCTCTCTCTCTCTCTCTCTCTCCCCCCCCTTCTCCTTAGACTGACATTGCCTTCTTTATTCCGGAGCTGCCATTCATCCTCAACTACTTTCCTTTGCATATATCTACCACCGGTTCTCGCTCCCCCGGAGAACGATCCTAGGATTATAGGCAGCGCGGCACGTTTTCGCAGCTCCGCCGCGTCCCTTTAACCTTAACTTCTTCGTCCTCGGTCTTTCTTTTCTCATTTTGGAAGGATTAGACCCCGATATTAATTGTGCAGGGCACGTTCCTCCTTGAAGCTCACCGAGCGAATCCTGATTCCATTCGGCTTCGTCCAAATATTTGGGTCCTCTTTATCCCGTGTAGGGTCTGTAATATCGTTAGGACCATGGGAAGAGAGCTACTTAACGCGTAGAAGGGGAATGCTGCCACGAACATCAAAAGACAGATATAACTGTCAAAGAAAATTACCAGATGTAGGTAAACGCGTACGGGAAATTGATATATACGTGATACGGCCAGAAGAGAGAAGGAGGGGAGCGAGCTTGCACGATAAAATACTGCTTTTAATTTGCTCGCTAAATTTATTCGATGTACTAAAAGTGTCCTGTTAGTTTTTCATGGAAGTTCTAAACCATTTTTCGAGACATGCGCTTCGCGTAATTCCCAAAGTACTTTCGACGATCTGTCTCGTCGCGTATCCTATCTTGCTATAGGCCTATTTCGTACACGATGCTATTTCTTACGTATTACGAGTTCCTTGATATCTCAAACTCTTGTTAACTCGATTTACTAGTAATTCCGCACAATATCTGGAACATTCGATCGATCACACGCTCAATTGCCTATCCGCTGCAACTGGCACTTTGCCACAGACTCTTACGAGCTCAATATTAGGATACTAGAATTTGCAAATCTTTACTTTGAAAGATTTAAGTCATAGCTCCCGATGAGCGGTGCTGGGTTAAAATTTTTGAACTTTCTTCGGCATTTAGGTATCTTACTGATTACTCAATTAAGTAACCGAAATATCAGTTTCATATTTCTCGGATAGATTACGCAGTGACGATGAATTGGTAAAAGCGAAGAAGAGTGCAGTGTGACGAAATAACCTGAAGCTGGGCTCTCCGGGTGCTCAGAATTTCTCGAGTGGATTTCGCGGAGCTACTGACCGTCTAGAGCTGCTGGTAAAGTGGCTGGCCTATCCGGACACAATCTCATCCTCTCAATTTATTTAAGGGAGGCGGAACGCGTGGGAGAGACCTGAATGATCGGGGACCGGAGCCATCGTCTCGCCACTTACAATAAACTCGGATTGAAGTAATCCCGCGCGAGTCGAGGAGTGCGCCATCGCTCGCCGATACGACTCTCGACTTTACTCCATTTCCACCCCGTCCGCCCAGGCTCGGCTCTTCTCCGCCTGACCACTTGCTCCGTCTCTCTTTTACGGGAATCCCCAGTCCTCCTTGGCCAGCACTAGGTATTTTTCGGGAACCTAGTAGTGGATCGGCCGCTGGGTATAATAGTCATGGGAGGATCAATGTATGTGGGTTAGGACCTTTTCCTACGGCACGGAATTCTTCGGGCCTTTCACGGCGTCCCTCAGGATTCAATTCTCCTTGGTTCTCTCTCTCTCTCTCTCTCTTTCTTCAGCATTTACCTATACCCTTAGACGCGTGGGGACGCTACCGCACGCGAGCATGCTCCCTGGCCATGTGCTTGTCGCGATGAATTGCAAGTGAGAAGCTGGAGATCAGATCGATAGGAAAATAGGATACGAGCGTGTGTGCGATGCTCTATGTTTTATGTATTCCCTAGGTTCGTACGTATCTATGCTGAGAAGTTGTATTAGAATAAGCCGGATACGTTCGGAGTCCCTGGTTATATACCGTAACGTCGGGAGGCTACGTCTATAGACGTCGCTGGAAAGACCCGCAGGGAGCCATTAGGACCGGCATAAACTTTTGCCTCGCCGTCTTATTTGAATCAGAAGTCGAAGGAGTGTAATATTGTTCCTTTTCGTTGGCAGTTTCTCTTTAAACATCTTCACCAACCACATATCCTTCCTACGGTTCATACCGCTCGCTCATTCAGGCACAACAGCAGCAGCCACGGATCTTTCAAGTTTTATGCGTCTAGGCCGTCAGCGACAGCGCGGCCAAAAATTATATAAATAATTTATCAGCTGAAAGATCGAGTACCATTTACTGACCCTTGCGATTGAACTCGAGTTTTCTATCGAGTATTTTTTTCCTGAACCAAATGAAGTTGGAAGAGTCGCACAGCAGAGGATGACAACCTGATGGGGGTTATGAAATTGACTGTTGGCAACTTTTTTCTCCAGACCCATACGGATAATGTCGTTAGGCTGCTACTCGTGTCCCCGGGAATTCGTGGTATTCGATTGATAACAGCTGTTACCCATCTATTATTGGAAATCAGTCGCTTGACCCTGAAAAACTGCTCCACGTTTGACTCTCTTGAATCGAGTCACTTCCCTGTGTGACATGTATAATGCCGACACTCTTTTTCTTAACCCTATGTGCTACCGCTTCGTTACTATATACATATATGTATTTCGCTAGGCAAGGAGAACGGATGCTCCTCTTAGGGGATAACCGAAACGTTGATATCGCGTAGTCATTGAGAAAGAAGGGTCGATCGAGCCTTTGAATGAGAGAACGGCAGACAGTATTGCGTGCTATGTATACATGTATACCTATATTTGTTCTATCCACTAGGCTGTATGTATGTACATGTAAATGTAACATTTCTTATCTTGAGTGATTAACGGGATACATAGATTACTGGCGTGTTCGAGTACCATAATGCCCAGTTCGCGCTTTCTTCCACCGAATTGATATTTATTGAAATTGCATCTTTCATTGTTTTCATTTAAACCAAAAGTAACAGCAGCCCATTTTGGCTATTTACTCGGTAGCCCTCAGCCTCGTAGGGCTTTCCTAAGAGAAATTTATAGCCTCTCGTCACAGCATCACCGTTATAATCTTAAAATATCTTATTCCGGATTTGTTAGTACTGAGGAAACATGGAGACGTGTGACACATTTTCACAGATTTTCTCATTCGCAATAGACACAGTGCATCGGCAGAAAGTCAGGTTAGGCGATCGTATTGGCAAAGAATAATATTGTCACGTTGGGAAGGATTCTCGATATTCCAGAAATGGTCAGAGCGTGCACTTCAGCCGGTCCGTGTGACAAGGACGACAAGGATGACTCGCCGTTGTCCATTAGTGAAATATTCGTGAATAATAGAATTCAGTGATGAATAGTGATGGTTGTTGGGTTGTTAGGCTTTGGTGTACGTGTAGGGAATCGGCGGGGTGAGCGTTGCTGGGATTCGGAGTGCGGGCTGGTTTGCCCAGGCTGAAGCTGGAACGGTAGGAAGCAATTAATAACTTTGTCGTGGCAGCCGGGCGAGCGGGCGAGCGGGCGAGCGGGCGAGCGGGCGAGCCAGCAGCAGCTACTAGGCATCTAGCCAGCCTTCCGAATGGGCAAGGAGGAGGTGTAGGTGTACGCAAGCGGCCAAGCAGCCAGGCAGCCAGGCAGCCAGGCAGCTAGGCAGGCATGGATGGGAACCCTCGCTACCTTGCAATAATTACGACGTCACGCCTCCTGCCCAACCTAATTAACTAATGCTACGGTGCTTCTCTCTGCATTGCTGGCCCTGCTTTATTCTTGCTAATTCGTAATTCTGTTGTTCGCGAATCGAAGAACGAGTTTGAACAAAAATAAGAGGTACGGGTTAGTGAGTACCTGAATTACGTTGCGAGCACAGCCTGCAGTGACAACATTTTATTTTACGTGAAGTCAGCATAGAACATGCCGAGGAAGCGGCAAGAGAATTTTGCCTCGTGGAATAAACTTTTCGCAATGTTGGATGGTAGTCCTAACGCGCGGAGAGCATAAAACGAGGATAGGAAATAAGGAATCAGACGGAACGTGTCTTAAGGATTATACGAGAAGCGAAGGTTCACCCGGGTTTTAAAGAAAGAAATAAAGCAACCGAGATACTGGATATTGGATGCTAGTCGCTTGATACAGACCTTCCACGGTTTTTTTTTTCTTTTTTTTTTTACTTGGGCGACATGGTAACGCGTGCGTTCAACATTCGTATAAAGTTTCCGGTCTCTCTTGGGTGCGGTGTCATCTTGTTAATATATACGGACATTACTATTCACTTGCTCTCACAGAAATTGGCTAATTTTTAAGTACACAGTCTCCGGACTAGCGAGTGCTCGGAAGTTGGTAAGAAAGACTCGGGAGAAAAGTCCAAGAGAATTTAAAGAAAATGCTTTTAACGAAGGACTCGATGCTGCAGCTGTTCGTATTCGCAGAGAAGCTTCGCTCCTCGCGAGTCACGAAACACAATGCACATTAGCCTCGAGGCAATCGATTCGCGTTCTCTTGAGTTTCCGAAGTTTTCTCACTCAGGAAAATTTCACCTGATTTCGATTATCGCTTTGGTGCTGGGATCAAATGTCAATCGAGTCTCATAAGTTTCCATCGGATATACATATGGGGACGTTAACGCCGACGAGAGTGTCGAGGTTGGTTCGCACTTTCTTCAGTCATTATGGGCGCTTGGCATGTGGGTTTCTAGCTAAAGGACCTTGCGAATGGATGGAAATGGGAAACTTGCTTAGTGCCGAACTATCATACTCTCTTGACAAGAGTTAAAAGGGTGTTCGTTGAGTAACGATCTGCAGTTATTGGGTGTCGTTAGACCGCTATTAGTATCGGCCACGAACTTCGACGTCCGTATTCTCCGTTTCTGCCACTCGGAACTTCACTTGGCAAAACTTTAGCGGGGATCCATCAGTTGGATAAGCTCCGCAACTTATGGATCGGCATGATCAATATTAAATCATATTTACCAACACCAAGTGTATTCGCAATTTCGGTTAAATATGTATAACGATAATCACTTGTCTTTTACCGAGACATGGGAGCGTCATAAGAATATTAAAAAGAATGCTAAACGGGATATCGCTGACTGCTAACATTCCGAGTACCGAAAGTTTCAAACGGCCACCGTAGTAGGTCCCGTCTAACCGCTGGAAACGACGCGAATGGACCGAAGACTGGAGGCTGCACGTAGGAAAGTAGTCTTGGACGGCGCGAGGACCTTGCTCTTAATGTCGAGCGTGACTTTTCCCCTCTTTTCCTAGCGGGCGAGCCACTTGCACTGTATTTTTCTTTTTTATTTCTCCAACAAACGAACTGACTACTAATTCATTATCGAAGTCCGATACGGTGCAGACGTTTCTGTTCCGGCAGTTCTTTCGCTGGCGAAATAGTGCCTCAGCAGCCAGTAATTAGGTAGTTTTTCGAAAGGAACGAATAAATAATCGAGTGGTAGCTGGGTAGCGATGGGATGCAAGGACACGAGGTGACGCGGGGATGATCCTGGGCCAAGAAGGTAAGGACTCGGGATCCTCGAGTCACGCATACCTGCTACTCTTAGCCGATATTAGCCATGTCAGGTCCTCGGAAAAACAGTCGCGGCGCTCGTATTTAGAACGAACGGATTCGTTCGCTAGATGCGAAACTGTATTATTGATCCCACGTAAAACAATGAGTTGCCCAGTAGCTTCGTATGAAATGTAAATTTTTAAACGCGGTAGGTCGGCCTACATTGTTTATCGAATTTTCAATCGATGCGGAAAACCATTATCTTCCCGTTATATCTCAAACTGTGCGAATTTCAAGCTCGATATCTCAAGTACTTCGTGTCTATAACTATAGACTCTATGGCTGATATTATCGATCGCTCAGATGCGTCTGAACCGACTCGGATACTGAGTTACGATATAAAGCGTTTCTTTCGTAGGGAAATTCCGTAGAAGATAGACTGGGTTAGCGTGGGTCTCTGTTGCCTCTGGCTTCTACCAGTTTTCTAGTAATTACACCAAGACTCTCAGAGTTTCGCACGTTTGCCCGCACCTACGGTGCTTTCGCATCTGCACGAGTAGTATAGTATATTTCGTCTCTGAAACGTATTACGATTCATAACGCTGCGACGGTTAATCTGGGAAACGTGATTTCGAATAATAACAGTTTGCACGTGTAACGCGTCTCTACATTGAGTTCTACCAGGTTCGTTCACACTCCTACGCACCACTAACTAACACGCTAATAATCCCTTTCATAATTATCGCTCGCCACGTGTGCTTTTGCAAACATTATTTGCGATACAGCACAGCGTTGTATATTACGAAGATACGTGCGTGCCAAATTTTGCATTGATGTTCGTGCATTAATGCACTTTTGCCGAATTCCAAGGGTTCCGTAAAGAATGCCAAAATTCTCGTTGAATTCTTTAAAACCCATTGAAATTTATTACAAGTCAGTTCATTCGTCTGTGCTGTACGCGAGACGCGTTTCACTTACTTTGAACTGTAATTTTTTAAAATCCTTCTACGTGCGAGTTACAATTTCCCTCTAGTATTTCAGTCCCAATCGTCATCAAACCAGCTGCTCCTGTATCGGGGACCCAGGAAAAATGATTACATACAGTCATGTCAACTTTCCGATGAGATACATCTTACGTAAATACACTACGAGTATGTAAATCGTACACAGATCCTATCCCTCAAAATAGTCGTAACGAATCAACGTATATCGCGGCAGTTCATTGGCACAAATAAACGTAAAATGATGGTGCGTATACGTTCGTTGAGAAACAGTGACAAATGTTTCATCCAATTATATATAATTCCATGTGCGAAGATGGGATAGATCAGTAACTCACTTAAACTTCCCGTAGGGTTGACGACGACTAAGAGACCAGGTTTATGAAGGATGCTGGTAATATATGCGTCCCAAGGAAGAGAACTGAGCTATCGTGTTTCCTCTCCATAAGACTGAACCGCCTGCATTTGTCTTCATTTCTTGCAGCACTTTAAAGGGATACGTAGTCATGATTTAGCGCTTGAGTTTCCTAACCTGAGATGAGCTTTCCGGCTGAACGTACTTTTCTCTAATCACTTCGATAAGGTTATATAAAACTCTTGGCGACGTATTCGTAAATAAACGTTGGATAGAACGGACGAAATGGGAATTCGTTATAGGTGTAACATTGAATTCGTAAGTAAATGTCCATTTAATAACGAAGAGACTAAAGTTCGTCGATGCACGCGTGCTAGGTGACATAAGTAATGGTCAATAAGGTATGAGTAAATTTTACTGCCGCTTTGCTATACTAGAGCATTGCTGGCAATAGGTAGTAGTCGCTCGCGTTGGTGTTGCCGGCAGCAGTGGAGTTAGTAGGTTGTAACAGCGATGCTGATAGCGCAGCATGTCGCGTGACTGAAAAGTTGTAAACAACTATTACGATATGATAAAAAGTCTTGGGAGATTTTTAACTCGAGTAAGAATTTTATGTGCATCCTCCGATGATTTAAAGTCGAATGTAAATGTAGTTACAAAACACGAAGGAGATTCCTCGTTGCCTCTCATTCCTAATGCATAGTCAATATCGCGTCATAAGCGGATGAGAATCGTAAGTCGAGAGAAGAAGAGTCGTGTGCAATCTTTATGGGCGAGTTTATGTCTGAATACACGTGGGACCGTATCCGTGTCTCTTTGAAGCCACTTTTCACACCACTTTCTTTCTCTTCTCGCCACTTGTACTCCTTCAACTCGCTAGTCGCAACAGCATACGCTCACGACCGTCTAGAATTTTATTCTTCTCTGTTGCACACACGCGCGCGTGTACAGAGAAGGTAAGTTGTAACGCCATTAAGATAATCTTGTACGTCAGCGCACGTGTGCGGCTAGAGTCCCATTTCGTGGCTGAGTCATGGCACCCCTGCCGGAGAGAATCATACGTGGCATGTAATTATAGATAAAACCTGAAAATGTGAAACAGAAAGTTTTCACTGCACGGCATCGTCGTAGCTTCTCAGAGATGAAGCGAATTAAGTGGATGAAGCATCGGAAGCGCAGGGGGCTGAAGAATGAGAGCTGGCGAAAACGCGTAACCCGAGAGTGTCAAACGAATAGGTTGAGAATTATGACTGAGGCCAGGATTAACAATGAATATGAGACGTCGTATGGTAAAGCTCTGTGGCCCTGGGCGATATCATCTTTTTCGGGGAAATATTCTTTGATTGCGTCACGCAAATAAGATGATCTTCCATTTAAGCAGAAGTTGACTCGGAAATGTTCTCATCGTCAAAAGTCACTTTATTACCTAATACATAGAGAACAACGTGGCAGATAGGCATCGGTAGTTGTTTTTGTCATGCGGCCGATGGATGTCGATTCTGGGGAGCTGAATTTGCCGGAGCTGGAGGTGGTTAGCACTCTAGCGGTGAGGTCGAGAGACTCGCGCAACTCTCTCCAGTAGGCTCTCAGTCGCGGCCAAACCGCCATGCGGATTCGTGTAGCTTCGTGGCAGAATTTTCCTTACGCTCAGTGCGAAGTGCTGCAGACAACCGCATATCCTAATGGATCTTTTATTCCCATACTTGTGATCCACTAATAATCGGTTGTTTCATCGAATTATCGATCCAATCTACCCAGCTGCATCGTACGAGCTCTGGTTGACAGTCGGAAAAATCGCGGAATTTTTATCAAGTCGTTCTCGCGCCTTTATATACCTTCCTGTCCTAACACTGTCTCTTTGCTCTTGTTCTCGGCTCTTGTCACACACCAGTGACAAAAATTTCCGCTGTTTCTCGATTTCATTAGACGCCAGCTGCACGTTGAAAAATGTCTGCTATACAGATAGTACGAATCGAAGAAGCTACCTTTCATTTACATCTCGTTATTACATATCCCGTGTCCCTATTGTCTCATTGTAGTACACAATCCATTGTATCGGAGAAAAAAGAATAGTAGGGCTAATCAAAATTGTCAATCGTTTACCGTCGCGTCGCAATAAGTTTCGAAAAAGTCTGACTGAGGAAAATTGTTTTTCTACCTGGCAAAACCATCATGCTTTATGCGTCAAATTTCTAAATTACGTAATTCATCTTTGCGCCTCTCGCCTATGAATCACGTTTAAAAATTGTTGTAATGAACGTGAACTTTTTTACAATTCTACAAAGCCATTCGTCTTTCACGAAGACACCTTTGAGAGTCACCATATCTTCTCGTACAAGCCTAACGTAGGAATTGATAGGTATGTTCTCTGTTCTTAATATACATACATGCTGAGGACAAGCGTGCGCAGCGAGTGAAGAGTAGAATGCCGAAGACCATGTCGTCCGTTGTCCACTCTTGAACCTTACAGGACTTAATCGATTAAATAAACTAGCCTGATCTTACGTTGCATTGGATGCCGCACGACGATACAATAGAAATACAAGGATCATCAGCATCCCAAATGTTCTCTTTATCATAGTCGCGTACTATGTCTACTTTTAAGTCCAAGCAACTTGTACTTAGTTGACTCGTCCGTCAACCTGTTTTCTTCGTCTGTTGCAGGAACTGAGCGTAAAGTCGTTTGCTCAAGCATGGCGTTCGAAAGAATACCAGGGCAGAGGGATTGCGATCATAAATACGCCGACGTGGGAAAGTGATAGGTCTCTTCTCAAAGGAACAGGCGCACATCTCATATCGCTGAGCTCGTTTACACGAAAATTCGTCGCGAAGAATATACGAGGCATCTTTTCCCATCGTCGGGAAGCTTTCGTCCAACACGTGTAAAACGTGGAAGCGAGCGCGCGGATATGCGCACGCGCGGTTGCGACCAGAAGACATCTCTTATATTGTGTAGTGTACGAAGAGTTTTGGCTCGTCGACAAGGATTTGCGATAATTACGTAAGAAAAAATAAATAAGCAGCTTGTACAATCATCGGTAACACGAAATTATGGTGGACGGCATATCGTCTTTGCTTTAAAAAAAAAACAGTGCGGTTTTTGGAGAAGAGTGAGATTTGGTGGAAGCTGTTGGTGATTTTAATAGTGACTGGAAAACTTGTATCCTGTGGAGCTATGAGCTAAACAGCGAGACGTTGGTGGAGGGTGACAGTGATGTGGGTGCAGAGAAAGCCTTCTGGTATTAGTAAGTGACTAAGTAACGAAGACAGTGTCATCCGGAGAAGAAAAGGAGCTTTACTAGGAATCCCGGGATGAAGGAAAACCGAAGGAGTTTCTTGAGCGCTGCGGCGCCCGTTTCGTCACTCCTCTTGTCCCTTCTTCTTTCTTCTCATCAGTCCGGTGAGCCCTTCTTCTTTTCTTCCTCCTATTTGTGTGTGTGTCCCCCCTCCGCCCTTTTCTTACCGCTTATTCATTTTTCTTCATTGTTTCTATTCAAAGCGAGTGTCTTAAGCCCAAAATCTTAAAGAGATTGATTGTGAAAATTACGCGAAGAGATTGCCGCCTCCTCGCATTTTCTTAATAACGTCTCTTTAGCCTTTCCCTTCGTGAGCATCCTTTTTCCGTCTTCTCTCTTGCTTTCGATTTCTCTGGAAAATCGTCGGCAATATGGTCGTCAACGCTGTAAGCCCAGTAGGATTTAACAAAGTCGAAAGAAATTCAAACGAGCTCGCTCGTCCTCTCATTGTAACTGCACCGGGCACGGTTGCTAACTTATTTAATTTAACTGCTAAAACTGTTCTCCAGGATTTTGCTACGAGGAAAAGGTTGAAAAATATCTGGGTAGGACGAAGGAGGTTGTAGGGGCATGCCGTGTTTCGTCAGATAACAAGTTCATCTCGCAGAGCGCAGGCAGAGGGCCGCTTGCTAGATTTTAGAGGTCGATAGGCCAGCCAGCAGCATGTGCTTCGTTCAAAAACTGCAAACTCGATTATGAACGCTCGCTAATTAACACGCCGTATCGCTCTATCGCGCTTCTCCCCGTCGTTATTGGTTCAGGGAGAATAAACATCGAGCGAGTTCGCCAAGCAAATTTTCTCTACTCAACGCGATTCTAGTTGGTCTCGTCAGAACGTTGTCGCTTCGCCACCTCGTTGTATCCCAATTCGTCAGCTGCCACCCTTCCTTCCGATGGACAAATTTACTTGAAGCCCTTGGCAAACCCTCACTCTTTGCCGGCGTCTCTATTCGTTAACATGTGTATTATATATGTACACAGGCCTACCCGGCTCAAGCACGCTAATCAGATTTGACAGCTGTGTGACACGATAGCTCAGATTTGACATAATCTACAAATTTGATATTCTCTGTATTCTTCCGTTCTTTATTTATGTATTACGTCAGTATCGAAATCTGGCATATCTAATATTCTCTATTATTTGGAAACATATTTTATTACCGACCAACAGTTTGAAGTCTATGAAAATCGTTCCATTTAGGCTCCTTGCAACTTATCGACAATCTTTGGACTTTTACGTTACAGTTTTCGAGTTGAAATTGGCAAATACGATGAGTCGGATGGGCACTCGCGTACCGTATTCTGAATTACAAAATATTCTGATCTGGTATGAACACATCACTTTAATGAAATGCGCGTTAAAGCGAATGACGCTCGTGTTGTGTTAAATAAAATTTGATCAGTTGCCATAAATAGGAAGTGAAAATGACAGCTGAGCGTCAGTGAGTAGTAGTTGAGACCTTCTCGATGCCACCAGGGAGCTCGGTCTGGCTGTGTACATTATTATCCCACTGCGGGCTACCAGGGATAGATATCGTGGATTTATAATACCACAGGGCCGCACGAATTTTATGAGGCTTTCTCGTAATTGGTTTTCGATCGCGTCCTCCTCCGTCTGCACAACTATCCAATTATTCAGTCGTCCGGTCGGTCAGCTGACCTTTTCTTGACCTACGAAACGTTAAACATCAATTACCAAAGCACACGAAAGTTTGAACCAACTCTTTCGCCTGTAGGCAAGTCGTTAACGACAGGGGGAATTATCGTTTTTCCTGAGCTTCGTGCTCCCGAGGCATATCCCCGAATAGTAGCGTTCATCCCGAGTGTGCCGGATAGTTTGAGAATAAAGCAGCGACGAAAGCTCCCCCGAAATGCTACTGGATGAACATCAGAAAGTGGTACTCAGTACTCGTAGCTCTAACGATCGGAGAAGTACATGGCAAAGACGCGGCGCCGTTCGTACGCGCAACCGAGCATACTCGGATCGTTAGAAAAGGAGTCCGTTGCGACGCCGATTGCTCCCCCTTGCCTGGGAATCGTAACTCGGATGACCACGTGTTACTGATTGCTATGTTGATTGGAAAATTCAAACAAAGAATTTGGCCGAGTGTCCTTAGCCTCTTGCTACCAACAGTTCTCTTGGTCTCTGCACGTTATTCGGGCTGTCCGATTTTCCAGAAGTCTCTGGTCAAAGGAAAGCCTTTTGTATTACGCGAAGAATCACGCCGTTAAAGGTGAAGAGAACAAGTGCGCACAAGAGTTTTTTTTTCTCCTGGGTGAAATGAAGACAAAGGGGTGGTGGACACGTAGGAGGAAGAAACGTGTACGGATATATCGGACACATGTAACGCCGCAAAAAGTTGACGGGGGAAAAGGGTTAGACTAGAACAGTCGAAGCACTTAACTCGAGGTTACTGCCGGTACTCATGGATGCTCCCCGCCGACCGTTGGGTAACTTTGCACTTTAATGGAACGATGACCTATCAATGTCTTCTTTCCACTTGCCGTTGAGAACACTGCAGGGTTGGCAAGCAGAGTTATGTAATGGCTTCCCTCTTTTCCTTTTCCCTTTTCCCTTTTCCCCATCTGCAATCCCGCCACATACTTCGTTCTTCCTGGTAGTAATATACGACTTACACGAGCATTGACGCATTATTCGGGAGTCGCGAAAATAACGTGAACGCATTTGGATATACATAAAGCCGAACAATAGGGAAACGTGGTAGGCGAAAGGTGAACGATACAGAAAGTTAGGCCGAAGTTCTGTTGGGGTATCATTTTTCCCATTGATTCAAACGGTATGGAGGCTTCGATTGGACAGAGCAGCAAAGAAAATAGATAAAAGAAATATTTGAACCGAATATCCTTCCACTGGAATTTACTTATTGAAATTTTATATTTTTCAGAAAAACAAATTTTTCGACCAAATTAATCGCAGATATAAGGCTCCTTGCGCGAAACTTCCTTCGAAAGTTATCGGAATGTGCGAATAATTGTGGTGAGAATTGGAACCCGTGCGATTCGCGTGCCCTCTGCATCTCCCTAATAAATTGTAATCGTTCCTGCTCGCAGATAATACTCAAAGTGTAACCCGAACTCGGCTAATCTCGCTGTTTTCGTGGCTCTAATTGCGCGCAGAGCCATGACTATCCGCCTACGTGTCTCTTCTGTCACGTACATACACTAGCGATGCGGTATATTTATATTTGTATTTCGTGCGGCACGTGTTAAATCGAGTCTTTACGAGCACAGATACTCATAGGTGTGTCTATGCTTGATTCGCCTGTAAATAATGTTGAATTTCTCAAGGAAACTAAGAGAAGAGTAAATGAAATGCGAGTAAATCATTATTAACAAGCGGCTCCGTGCCTCGCGGCTACGTCGTGGATAGATGTTTCCTTTTTCCTAAACGTCCTGAATTGTTTGCAAGTTGTCGGATAGCGAAATGGATAGAGGATGCGGTGTACTGTATCCCACAGAGAAATCCCGTTGGTGGTATTCCGAGTGTGACAGTCTAGCCAGGAATTATTGAATTGGGCCGGAAGCAAGGCGTATCACCGAGTTCTCTTCCAGACCCTCCCATTCACCCTCGTCCTCGTCCTCGTCCTCGATCCATCCCCGTTTGGCTCTGAGCGCGAGGCAATTGATGCTATTGCTAGTTTGCATTCGCGAGGGAAATCCTGGTGACTCCCACAAACCTCGTACCCCCATATACATACATATTTACCGATAGGTGGATAACAAAGTAACACTCGATTGATTGCCGACAGCTCATGTAATCGATGGCACCATTCGTGATCCTATTATTCTTCTAGGATCATCGTGGCCAAGTAAAGGCAAAAGTTGGGTGAAATGTCGCCGGATTGCCTGAACGTATCAGCATTTGTTTTTCCGCCAGTCGCGTCGCCACAGAAGCACCTAGGATCGAAATTCTTCCGCCAGGCATGTTGTTATCCAGGTCTTTGATTCGGGCGCTGCGTGCATCTTTCACTCGACTCGGTGACATTTACGTAGGCGGTTGCACCTTTAGAGGGACGGACAGCAGTTTCACGCGTTCTGTTCCTCGTCAAGAGAAGCGACGGAGCACGCGTACTTGGCCCCTGCTACCACAATTGAAAGAATCGATCCAATGAGCTTTCGAAAAGAAACTAGAGTACAAAGCTTGAATCACTTGAAGAATCGGCTGGTTCACTTGTTATTCTTCAGTTACACCAACGACTTTCACATCGGAATTTTACGAATACATTATTGGCACACACAGTCCACCAATAAGCCGATAAATATTGTACTCGACACGTAACGCTGAGTCAATACGACGTTCCGATAGAATTGTTCTAAAGGCAAATTGAGGTACTTCATGTTGGCATTGCAGTCACAGTAAAAATGCAGATGGTTGTTTCCAGGTTGTTGCTGGCCTTGCGCCAGGAACATGCATGACGTCACATCGGTACGCGTTGCCTTTCGTTTCGTTAGCTGGAAAATCTATTTCTTTTGGCCGTTCTCCCGTAAACGCTCCCTATCCAGATGATCCTCCATGTCGGGCGCCACGCTTGTTATTTCGAAGGCTCGTTGTCAGTTTGAGTCCCCCGATTGCATCGGCGCGCGTGTTGCCCAGTAGAAACGAGTGAAATCGAATCGAATCACATCGTCGCATCCTCTACCCTCCCTTGGTTAGAACCTTCGAGGGTTCGAACGCTCGAGCGTTGCGGACGATTCGAATGCGACCGATCGATCTTGTAACCAAACGAGCCAGCGTTGTCTGTAAAAGTGTACAGGCATTACCCAAACGGATGGTAACGCCAACAAAAACCAGTAACGTTAACGTGCTGCTCGCAGAGATCGGGAAGCGTGAAACGAGTTTCAGTGTTACAAAACGTACAATACTCTTTTTAATTGCTCGAAGGTCTGCCACAGAGATATTCGAATGATCAAAGCGAACACAAAGACTGTCCAGAACTGTGATTAATCGCGTGCACGAACCAAATTAATAGTTATTATCTAGTTGAAGTTGATGCT